AAAGAAGATAAAATAAAAAATAACTTGTGATTAATATATATATTTTTTTGCATCTGTTCTGATTTATAATAACGAAGAAGATAAAATAAAAATAACTATATTGTGATTTGTTAATATAGTAATTATAAAAAAAAAAAAAAGAACTGGGGGAAAAGATGCAACGTTCCTAGGGGATTTTGCTTTGGAATCTTCTTTATCAAAATTTACTTTGCTGACTATCAACTTCAAACAGGTGTAGCTCAGTCATTTTTCGTTCGATTCCAACAAAACATACATAATTTTGAAGGTGTTTTAATGGATGTGACAAAAAAACATTTTTTTTTTTTAATTTGCTCATTGGGACTCATGTTTCCAGCACAGGTCACATATATTGAGTAGCAATAAAGCAGGGTGTCCGCGGGGTCTTAAAGTATTAAAAGTTGATCAATCAATTTAGAGAAAATTAAGGCCCTTAAGTATTAAAGGGGTCATATGATGCAGCTAAAAAGAACATTATTTTGTGTATTTGGTGTAAATGAATGTTTATGCGATTTAAAGTAAAAAAAAAAACACATTATTTTCCACATACTGTACATTATTGTTTCTCCTCTATGCCCCGCCTTTCTGAAACGCGTCAAATTTGTACAAAACTCATCGGTCTGAAAAAGCTAGGTGTGCTGTGATTGGCCAGCTATCCAATGCGTTGTGATTGGCCGAATACCTCAAGCTTGTGACGGAAATGTTACGCCTCTTACCATACTGTGATGGCGTGTCCGGCCTGAGCGACGACACAAAAACATTAAAACCCATTACAAACGAGGCATTTGTTGCATCCAGTGGGGACATAATTACTGATTATAATGACTTATACTGTCTTTTTACGCGTTGCGTTGCATTGCATCGTGCCGCGTAAACATAAAACCCTGCGGTGGGGTCGAGAACGGCGGTCCCGGCGAAGGAGCGGTGAAAGCCGATCCAGCGATCCACAGCACTAAGTTGATGTATTTCCTCAGCGACCAGTACGGATCAGCTCTAGGCATGACGAAGCGGATATCGTCCTCTTTTGGAAGACCAAACAAGTTTCGCTTTCACAACGAAACACACAGCGTCTTCACGACATGGCGGCAGCGGCAACAATACTACAGCGAGAATAAAAGTTACGCTTTCTTTCTTTGCGTGAACATTTGGGCGGCGTTATGCAAATCTTCCCACATAGTGAGGTAGGTATGTGGGGGCGTGTTCGAACGAGCCGGTTTAGGTAGGTGTGGCTGACTCTTAACTTTTATAAAGAATATCTCTTTGGATTTGAGACTTTAGTGGACCAAGAGCTTGTAACACTCCAAAGAGAAAGGAAAAAATGAAATCGCATCATATGACCCCTTTAAAAAGTCTTAAATGCCATTTTCCAAGGTATTACATTTTGTATAATCTTTTCATTATGTATATTTGTCCGAATAGTGGGGTTCTGCTATGAAATCCCGCAAGATTTGACGTCATCTGTTACGGCGCTCACTGACTGACTGCGCCGCTGCTGATTTTCTGACCATTACAGCATGCTCCCGCGATTTTTGTGTCCGCTCCTGCAAACATTCTAATATTGTATATAATTTTTGCGCATGAGGGTGGCGCTATCAATATGTGGGGTATTTTGAATGAGCGCTCGCAGTGACAGTTCACTTTCGATGTTGCGATCGCGCGTGCACTGTGTAAAGGGAGCACATCTAACGATAAAAGATATTTGTCAATGAGCTGGAGCAAATCCTCCAACATCTTTGTCAATTATCTCTCCTTACTTTTGACCCGTGATCAGTCAAATCTTACTTCTGCAGCTCCTGTTGGATGCAGGGTTGTTGCTGTTTTTTTCCCCACGAAATTGGGCTGCTTTTAAACTGTTGACATGGGTTGATTTTCCCCAGTGAGTTAAAGGTTTGAAATATTGCATATTTCGGTTGAAATGCTTGTACTGAAACATTTTGCATTCTACCTGTCATAAAACTGCTAAATGTTTTGGGCCACACTAGTAGGAAGCATTTGAGCTGTGTTTATGATAAATGTGCACAACATTGACTGTAAAATATGTATTTTAGAGATGGAAATTAAATTTTTATATTTAAGACATGGTAATTGCGCTACTTTGGGCTTTTTTTTTTTTTTTTTTTTACTGGCATGGGCTTGGGTTGCACAATTAAAATTATGTAATTGTTGTGATAATTATTTTACCTTCCATGGTCATTCAGACAATATCAAGTGCAATACTGACACTCTGTCAAGTCTGCATAAAATCAAGCACTCCGTAATCACAGGTAAACTGTCTGATCAGTCAGATGTTTGTCATGAGAAGTGTTCCACAAAACGGCTATGGTTTGCAGACAGTTATAAGAGTTGATGTGACAAATACATCTTTTGAATATACTGTGTGAACTCATTGCCCCGTTAGCTCGGAGAGCTTTATTTTTTATTTTCCCTCAATAAGTTTTGGGTTGCACAATTAAAATTATGTAATTGTTGTGATAATTATTTTACCTTCCATGGTCATTCAGACAATATCAAGTGCAATACTGACACTCTGTCAAGTCTGCATAAAATCAAGCACTCCGTAATCACAGGTAAACTGTCTGATCAGTCAGATGTTTGTCATGAGAAGTGTTCCACAAAACGGCTATGGTTTGCAGACAGTTATAAGAGTTGATGTGACAAATACATCTTTTGAATATACTGTGTGAACTCATTGCCCCGTTAGCTCGGAGAGCTTTATTTTTTATTTTCCCTCAATAAGTTTTGTCAGTTGTTTTGTTTATTAGTCTAATTCTTGTTTCTTGGGTTGCACTGGTTAGTCACTCAGTTAATTCTCTTGTGCTTCATTCCCCCCCTTCTGAATTATGTTGTATTGATAAGGTGTTATCATAAAGTAAGTCTGTTTAGTTGTGCTATCTTACAATCAATATATAGTAAATGTAATTTAAAGTGTCGCTGATGTAACCGGTTAAAACTTGGAGTGGCGATGGGGTCTTAAAATGTATGGAAAGAGTCTTAAAAGGTATTAAATTTAACTCCATGATTCCTGTATACACCCTGTAAAGGTAAAGAGGCTGTTTTCAATATATGCAATAGAAATATTGATTTACACACATTTATGCATATGCCAAAAGCAAAATGTATCTTTCATGATTAAAAGTGTTATTAGATTTTGCTGTATTTGGCTGAGCAGTGGTTTGGGTGGCTCACCAATGTATTCGATTTCTCTAATACATAAAATAAGTAAGCTTGACCAGAGTTGTGGGGAGAAGAATTTATTGAAGGTGGTAGTGTAGCACAATTCTTCAGCAGCGATATTATATATGTGAATTATAGGGACAGAACTTTATACCTGGTAACAAAAGGTTCACAAACTAAAAGGTAGATACTGTTAGGACCTCCTACTGGAGACGCCACAATAGTCAGGAAGGGAGATTCTTTTAGGATATTCTACTGGTTAGTCAGGAAGGGCCATTCTGTTAGGATCTGGTGGCAATGAAGAGCTTACAAAAGGCAGGAATGGCCATTTGGTTCACATCTTTGTTAATTACATTTTGGGGAACAGTCACAGTGTATCGTCAGACATTGATTACGCATGAAAGAACTATTCACAAAATCCTTCAGTAGTATTGATTGAATACACATAGGAAAATTATATTTTTCTTACAAAACATACAGTGTGGGTCTCAGAGACTTTAAGACTAAAGTTTACTGCTTTTATTCATGCAGTTTTCAGGCTGTTCCACATGCATCTCTTAAATGTTTAATAAACAACATACTATAACAATTGAAATAATATACTGTAGTGTTATTTTAGTATCTTTGCAGCCTATAGTATCCTACCTTTGTAGTTTTCATTTGATATTTTGGATTAGTTTTAATTTTTAATTTTAAAGATTAAAAATAAAAAACTTTAACGTTTTTAATTTTGGTGAGTGTTTTTGTCATTTGTATTATTATTATTTTAAAGATGTCTATAGACTTATTTTAGTGTATCAAGTAAAACTAAATTAAAATGAGAAAGACTGCTTTGGCAACTAGCTGAAATAGGTTTGAGCTGTTTTTTAAATCTTATTTCAGTTTGTTATTTCAAGTAATGAAAATGTTTTAACCCTGTTAAATCATGTGTTTTTGTTTTGCAGAATTTAATTAAAAAATATTTTAGGAAAATTTTATTTTTCCCCCAAAGTAAGTTTTTTATTTCTTTGCCCAACATATACATAATTTAATTGACCTAATCCTTACTGAAGACATATGGTGTGTTGATGAGTACTAGGCCTGGATTGTGTTAATTTGTCCATCTTTACTGATTTAACACACATCAGGCTAAAAACAAGCCCACTTTTGTTTTCGTGTTTAAAAGTGTGAGTTTTGGACCATCCCTGGGATTTGCCACTGTAATGCTCATAAGCACAGTGTCTACTGGAAGGCCCTCCGTGATAAGAGTCTGATGGGATTTCTGCATGAGCTGAACTTCACCTTTGACCCATTGGATATGGATTCAGACCTGCGACGTGCAGGTATGTTCTCTGACTTGACTAATCTGCAGATTTATTGTCTTTTATGTCCTTTGCTGATCTTTGAATCGTTTGTGTGTTTATGTGATAGAAAATTCACTGCAGAAATTCGCTGGTAGTTTGGCAATGAAGTATGCTACTTTTTTGTTGGGGTTTGAAAATCCCAACCATTCAACGAGCTGTCGGTGCACCTGTCACTTCAAC